AAGAGTAGTATTTTTTATTTCTTCATTACAGTCTTCAATAAAAGTTTTGAACCATGTCGTTTACATCTTACTAAGTTAGATGCTTGTATTGTATCTTACACATTCACCATCGGTTTTATAACGCGCAACACGAGGTCATTAAAGTAGTTGGTACTCCAGTCGGGCTTCTATCAACATCGTCATTACACGCGCAGTGTTAAAATGGCATCAGCACTTTTGTCATTGATACTGGGTGCATTAATATTATTGTGTCCGTACTTGTACCTACAATATACGTACTGGAAAAGAAAGGGGATTCCAACTGCTGCAGGATGTTATCCCTTCGTTGGCCACATGTTGCCTGTGCTAGCTATGAGAAAAAACTTCCCCGAATTGATGCGCAAAATATACAACGATCACAAAAACAGCAGTATGGTTGGTCTTTACAAAGCAATGAAACCAATTCTAGTTATTCGCGAGCCGCAGTTAGTAAAAACAGTGCTACAAACCAATTTCTCAAACTTCCACGACAACGCTATTGAAATCATTCCGGAAATCGATCCATTGGTGGCCAAAAATCCATTTGTTAGTTACGGAGAAACTTGGTCGATCGGAAGGAAGCGCTTGACGTATGCGTTTTCCAGCTCCAGGCTAAAATCTTTATTTATAACCGTCGACGGAGTATGCAAGAAGTTTCAAGATTACCTGAACAGGCGATTGAGTTTGAATGGCAAGTACGAAGTTGAATTGAAATATCTGTTCTCAAAATTCACCGGCGAAGTTATTGCGAACGCTGGATTGGGCATTGAAGGACTCTGCTTCGAAGATAAGGACAACCCCATGGCATTCGACCAGATCGGTCATTCGATATACACACCGAACTTCATCGAAGGATTTTTTATAACATTCTTGTCCCTTTTTCCGAATTGGAATCGTCTGGCAAGAGTCAAGTTCGTCCCCAAAGAGTTGGAGGAAATATTTAAAACAATAGTCCAGAAAAATTTGGAGAGTAGGCGAAAAGAATCGGCACCTAGGAATGATTTCCTACAATTAATGATGGACCTCGAGAAATCAGGCGAGAAGCTGGATTTGGAGGCTGTCACGGCACACGCGTTTTCGTTTTATAACGACGGATACCAGTCTTCGAGTATCACATTGGTATACATTGGATATCACTTAGCAGCTAATCAGGACGTTCAGGATAGAGTGAGAAACGAGGTGAAGACAGTGATCGAGAAACACGGTGGTGTATTAACGTACGAAGGACTGAAGGAGATGACGTACATGGACCAAGTGATCAGTGAATCGCAAAGATGTTCTGTAGGAGTAGGTACGATGCACAAGTTGTGCACCGAACAGTTCCATTTGGAGGGATCCGATGGACTGAAATATCATGCGAAACCGGGTACTGAAATTATTATACCCGTTTACGCACTGCAGACAGATCCGAAATATTGGCCCGATCCGGAGACCTTCGATCCGGAACGATTCAGCGAAGAGGGGAAAAAGAACAATGAGAAATATACTTTCCTACCTTTTGGTGAGGGACCGAGGATGTGTGTGGGAATGAGGATGGCTTTGTTGCAGATGAAAGCTTGCGTAGCTACTCTGTTAAAGGATTATAAAATAGAATTGTCGCCGAAAACGAAACTTCCATTGAAGATCTCACCTGTTTTCTTCACACCGTTACCAGTTGGTGGACTGTGGGTTAATATCACGAAGCTGTGAATATGATTTGTACACTCACACTCAAAAGTTTATAGCACTCTCTACCTTTCCGACGAAACAAATGTTTTCACACATGATATACTGCGTTCACATTAATATTACACTATTTTAATATGTTTCATAGTAAAGTTTAGGAATATAAC